AGACTTAGCATTATTCGCAGCTTCTTTCAGGCTAGGAAAACTCTGCACATCCGCCGCCGCAGTCACGGCGGCCGTAGCTTCCGCCGCTTGTTCTTCATCTGCACGCTCAGCTTCGTCTGCCCAAGCCCCAATTCCAATCCCACCCCAAGGTTTCGACATCAAGTTGAAATCAGAAACTGAAAATTTCCCAGATCTATAAAAACGCAAAAGATGCTTCAATCTGGTGGAAAACGGAGAGATCCCAAATTTCAAAACGGAAAAAAAAAAGATCTAGGGTTCCGATCTAGAGAAGAAACCGTCGGAGAAATTTTATTCCTTTTGTGTGAAGACGAAATTTTGTTCTGGAAAACAAAAAAAAAAATCATAAAAAATGTGGGATTTATTCCTTTGATGATTGTTGTTTTTGCATGCTTCTCAACGAAGGAGAGATGGGCGGAGAAAATGAGCTCCACGCGTTAGTGATGTGCGTGGTTTACACGCACCACTACGTTGACAGAGCAATATAGGAAGTTACGGCCCGAGCGTGTGGTCACGCGACGTGTAAGCAAGTGACGGTTTACTTCAATGAAATGAACGGTCATAACTCATAAATGTATGTATTAACTCACTTAAACCATTTTTTTTTTTTTAAATTCCAATGACATAAATATTAGGGACAATTAAGTACATAAATTAATCAGACAAATGTGACTTGCAAAAAAACCATTTACAATTAGGAGTGTTATATTTCTCTATTTTTTTTATTTAACTAAACATATTGTTGTTTTTAAAAACTCTGTTATTTAGAGTAGACCAGAATATATTTTTAAAACATGTTATTTGGATAAATTCATAGTCATTTACCTAATTAGTTTTTATTCGAATTTTGATTTGGTTCGATTTATGCAGTTTCTATCTATAGGTATCATATTCTTAAACAAAATAGTTTTAAATTCGAATATATACAAGCAAGTCTGGAATTTCGTTTGAAAATATTCATTTCACCCGTGCGCGGGTGTTATTCTAGTTTAGAATATACATTTTAAAACATGTTATTTAGATAAATTCATAGTCATATACCTAATTAGTTTTTATTACAGGATTATTTAGTGCAATTATCCTAATTATTATTGCTAATTTGCTTTCACTTATCATTGTTTTTTTGTTAAAGTCTTATCAGTGTTTTTGAAGCATAGATTATACATAAAACTCCATTCTTATAGGCCAATAAAAATGAAACATCACTAAGATTAAAAACGACAAGAGAAGCATGTTGATCTGATATACAAGTCAGGCATTGCTACAATGGAGAACGAAAAGAGCAGGACCATGAGATTCGACTTGAATCGCAACCGAATCTTTGGTTGGTCCGAAATCTCTCCCGCTCCATAGCTCGTGGCTCTTACACGAAGCTCCTTGAAGATTCTTCTTGTTCTGAAGAGCCTTGGCAATGTCTGAAATCTTGGCTGATATCGTTGTCTTCACCGGATTTAAGTTGAAAAACGCGACATATACTTCTCCTGTTCTTCCAGTGGCAATCCAAGAACGAACGCCATTGGAGCTAGCTTCGGCTTTCGCAAGATGGGTAATAATGTCAGGGATTATAAAAGAGAATGTTGAATAAAGAGAAGATAAACTTGGTTGATCTGAAACTAACAAACCTTTCACTGGATTTAACACGGCACAAAGACCGGAATAACTGTTTTCTAGTGTTCCATTACTGTGGAGCTCCCACATCTGATGATATTAGCGCATGTTATATGGAAATGGAGAATGGATATTAAGGTAATTAATACAGAGAGGGGATCCAAAATCGTTGTAGTACCTGGTTTGCATCTAGTTTGCAAGGTGATAACGCACCTCGACTATAATCTTTTGAAGTGAGCTTTTGCTTCGAGGAAGCGCCTAAGCAAGACTCTGCCTTAACACTTGTTTGTAAATGAAGCTTACCTTGATAAAGCTGGTTGTGTTTTATCTCCTCATCGCTGCACCAAAATGAGGCAGATAAATTGGTTAAGGGAGTTTTATGAAACGTAAATTGACTAGAGAAAAATGTTTAAAAAGAATCGTACGAAGCTAGAAGAGCTTTTCTATTATATAAGCAAAAGGGCTTCTCCAGCTTTTCTCTAGAGTATTGGTTCCAACAGATTTGTCCACTGTTCTTGTCTACAATGGACCAAGTGTTGGCTTTCGGTTCTTTGCAGCTAGTGAGACCAAAGGCACGTTTAGTTGAAATGGTCTTGTCCGTTGAACGACTTGGATGGCCTTTTTGCTTACTCTGAGATACCTTTGTCGCGGTGATGTAAGGAAACTGTAAAAGAAAACAGGCGGAGTTTGATGACAGAAGTTTGTAACTTCGAAATAGAGATTAAGAGTTTTGAAGTTACGATTCTACAAACCTCCTTGTTATTAGAGCTATAAGAGTTTATTTCCAGTAGTGTAGGATTTGTGATTAGATTATAAGTAGCGTCATCAAGCTTTCTCACATCACCTCCATACATGAGAGGGGACTTTGCGATAGACCACAATGTCATCTGAATAAGCAAAAAGAGCCTAAGAGAAATGGGAAATGTGGTTACTTATAAACTATGAACTGTGAAGCTAGAGCTATACCTGCGTCTTTTGTTCTTCCATATTAAGTTTGCACGCTCGATGAGGTCCGATGTTCAAACCTTTACCAAACATTAAGACAAGACAACGTTAAGCATCTACCAAGTTTCAGATTTAAAGATTTTGAGTCAAACCTTGATCAGTAAGCCATCCAAGAGGTAACATATCGAGATCAGGCCATGATTTTCCTTGTAATCCTTGTGCACCGATCATACTAGAAGCAGATAAATCCCTGGAAGAATTACCAAAATATATGACATCAAAGAAAGGTAAAAACTTGGCAAAAGGATTTTTCGCTAAGTAATGCACATGAAGCTTGACCTCGAGATATCGAAATGTGACACTACGTCTTTCCATGTGTCCCAATCATCACCTGTTATTCTGTACATATTGACAAATTGACTAACTTCTTTAGCCATTGTAGGTGTCACACTCGTCCCTGGAGATATAGAGTACAAAACAGGACGATCAAGCTCCTTCAGAACCTGTGGAAAACAAAAACTCGAATTTCATCTCTATATACCACCGACTTTAACCAAGATTGTAAGATATTTACAAACGAGATTTATGTACCTCTGACACAAAAGTTATCTCCTCTATGTTGAAATCATCGCCAAATACGCAGTCATGTTTTACTAAAGACCCAAAGAAAATGAAACAAGATCAAGATTATATTGAACTCAGACAAGAAAGTAATGTAATTGATGTCGATTCTCTTACTGAAATCAACGCCCCATTCAGCATATTGTCGATAAAGAGACCTCAAGAAAGCTTTTCCTGCACCTAGCTTTGTATTCACACTCATGAACCCATGTGACATCCACACACAAGCCTTCTCCTTGATCCCAATATCTTTCGCCCGCCACTGTCTACCCGATTCCTCATAAGCACCTCCCTTTGAACCAAAAACCGTAAAATAAATCACCAAGAACAATACTCAATTCTTACTTCCAGAAAAACTTCATAAACCAGAAAGATAACATCAAATCAAATACCTTAACACTATCCATAACAAGTGTATTAGCGTTGTAAGCCTGTGTGCTTATTCCTCCCATAACATGAACCCCAAACTTCAAACCCATTCTATGAACTTTCTCAGCGACTTGGGTGAAACCTTTACCGCCTTTAGAAGATGGCCATCTTAAAGGATCAGGATGCATCCTTCCCCATTCATCAATCACATCAAACCCAAGAGAGTCTACACCAGCACCTTCAACTTTCTTTCTATACCAAAGGTAATCCACCACAACATACTGTATCCAAAAATCCACACACAAAAACACAGAATAAAACCCCCAAATTCCAACAACAAAATCAATTGTGAAACTTTAGAGCAAAATACTTGATATCCATGAGGAAGAAGACGCTTGGAGACGATTTCAGCACTTTGCAAGAACTCAGCTTCAGAGATAGTCCAACAAAATGAATCATACGAATTCCAACCTCTTGGAGGAAACCTCGCATGTTCGTTCGACCCTGCGTTAATCGATAAACTGGAAAAGAAAAAAAACCAAAAAACATCCAAACGAAATTCGCGATCGACCCAACAAAGCAAGATTGAAAATTTC